GATGGGGTTTCACCATGTTGACCAGGATGGTCTCGATCTCTTGACCTCGTGATCCACCCACCTCGGCCTCCCAAAGTGCTGGGATTACAGGCGTGAGCCACCGCGCCCGGCCCAGAGAATTTTTTAATTTTGTGTAGAGACAGGGTTTTTCCATGCTGCCCAGGCTTTTTAATAAAAGTCATTTTAACTGGGGTAAGATGATATCTCATTGTGATTTTGATTTGCATCTTCTGATGATTAGAGATATGGAGCATTTTTTCAGATACCTGCTATCTATCTGCATATCTTATTTTAAGAAATAAAAATATATTGGACAGGCATGGTAGCTCACATCTATAATCCCAGCACTTTAGGAGGCCAAGGTGGGCAGATTGCTTGAGCCCAGGAGTTCGAGACCAGGCTGGGCAACATGGGGAGACTTTGTCTCTACAAAAATACCCAGGCATGTTGGCATGCACCTGTAGTCCCAGCTACCTCGGAGGCGGAGGTGGGGGGATCACCTGAGCCTGGGAAGTCAAGGCTGCAGTGAGCTGTGATCATACCACTGCACTCCAGTATGGAAGACAGAGCAGATACTGTCTCAAAAAAAAATTAAGAAAGGACCAGCCACAGTGGCTCATGTCTGTAATCCCAGCACTTTAGGAGACCCAAGCGGGTGAATCATGAGATCAGGAGTTCAAGACCAGCCTGGCCAACACAGTGAATCCCTGTCTCTACTAAAAATACCAAAAAATCAGCCAGGCGTGGTGTCAGGCGCCTGTAATCCCAGCTACTCGGGAGGCTGAGGCAGAGAATTGCTTGAATCCTGGACGTGGAGGTTGCAATGAGCGGAGATCACATCGCTGCACTCTAGCCTGCGCAACAGAGGGAGACTGACTCAAAAAAAAAAAAAAAAAAAAAAAAGCACTCTTTAAAAATGTAAATAAAAGTTAAACATGGATTACATGGATTTGCTTTTCCAGGAAGCACTTAAGTGACAAATATTCGACAATGAAGATGTCAACCACACAAGAGGGGACTGGTCAGGAACTGGGACCACAGGGAACCTCATCACAGCTTCTGATGCAGCAGATGTTGACTGTGGACGGAGAGTGGCACATGCCCACAACTGGGTACAGAAGTAAATTCCTGCTCAACCCAGGAGTGCACAGTGTGTAGACAATTCACTTCCATGTTGGAATACCAACAAGATTCAGCTGCAAAGTAAACTCTGCATCGCAGCGAAGCCATGAGGTTGAGTTGTGAATCTTGGGGGACTGATGAAATTTCGCTGGACAATTACAGTGTAAACGTCATGACCCATCAGTGCCCAGCACTGCTTCTGTCTCTACAGGAGCCACGGGCACCACAGCGGCCTCAGAGCAGAAGGCACAGGATACCAGGGCAGCATCGCAGTGCGTCAACACCGAGGACCTCAGGCCACCCCCTTGAGCATCGCCGCATGCAGGGGCGGGCCCTGCGCATTCTGCCCCGGAAGGCGACCCGCAGAAACCGTCCAAAGGGCTGGCCTTGTTGTTCCGGCGCACCTCTGACTGGGCCCCAGTTTCTGGAGGGCAGGTATGGGGAAGGCTTGTCCCCAGTACCGGCCTTTGCACATCGTCTGTGCCCAAGGTGTTTGGGGACCAAAGCTCTAAGCAGCGCTCATTGGTGTGTGTGAATTAAGCAAGGGAAATTTAAAATGCACACGTTATATTATCCTTTAGAACCTATAACTCGATCAAGACAGAAAAAAAAAAAAAGAAACATGATTTTAAAACAACAGTAACTCCATATAAGAAGTGTACTGCTGCACGGGGTGGCTCACGCCTGTAGTCCCAGCAATTTGGGAATCCGAGGTGGGTAGATCAGGAGTTCAGGACCAGCCTGGCCAACATGGAGAAACCCCTTCTCTACAAAATTACAAAAATTAGCCGGGCGTGGTGGGGGACGCCTATACTCCCAGCTACTCGGGAGGCTGAGGGCGGGAGAATTGCTTGGACCTGGGAAGCGGAAGATCGCGCCACTGCACTTCAGGCTGGGCAACAAGCGACACTCCGTCTCAAAAAAAAAAAAAAAAGAAGAAGAAGAAGAAGTTTATTTAGATGTTAGAGTCATCTATGACTGAACAAGATTGGACACGAACCCACCCAGGCCCGGGGCTCAGCTGCAAACATCCGCAGATTTCCCCTGCAACAGGGAGTGGTCAGTGCGCTCGATGGCCTTTGTGCTTCCAAACGTTTTTCCAACAGACGGCTGTGGCTGCAGTTTTCAGAAGATGTGCTCTGGCCTCCAAGGAGCAGGGTAGTGGGGAGGGACCCTTTGTATAGAAAATGCTGTCCCGGGAGCTTTGCGACCGACGCCTTCCGGCATCTGAGCATCCGCGGAGCGGGCAGCTGCAGCCTTCTGTCCTCCGGCCACAACCCGACTTCTTCACCAGCAGTCAACCAAAAACATCCTCTCAGAGTCTCTTTGAACCTGGTTGTGATGATAAGAACCAAATGTTTGCTGATCTAAGACTTGTATGCAGAACGCAGAAGACTGCAGTTAGGAACACCCTACAAAATCGTATTTTCCAAAAACAGGGCGCTGAGAGCGGGGAAGCGGCCCTGCCTTCAGCATCAGGAGAACCGCCTCCGCCTCCCAAGGCGGTCCGCCCAGTGAGCAACGCGCCCAGCTCCCAGCCCCCGCTCCCCGTCTGAAGACAGCGGTTCCGGGGACCGAGACGACAGCATCGAACTGAAGATGAGGAGGTTTAGGCAGAAAAGGCCAAGGAGTGGTGTGCGCGCGGAGCCCGGGACCCGGGCGCGGACCGAGTGGGAGCGCGAGTGCAGCCGGGGAGGGCCGGCGGCAGAGTCTCCGCCAGAGTCCGCGAGGAGCCCAGCCGGCCGCCAAAGGTGCTTCTGGCGGGCGGTCCGGCTGTGCCACAGCGCGCACTGAGGCGGCAGGCGCGGGGGAGCTTTCCCAGGGGCTGCGGGAGCCGGCGCTTCCCAGCCCCAACCCTGGAGCTGATGGGGACTCTGGCGCCCAGGCCAACGGGGCCCTACCCGGGAGCCACTGCGCCCAGCGGAGCCGCCTGCGGAGCCCGAGGGCGCTGAGCTCGGAGGACGCGGCGCGGGGCGGGGGTCTCGGGAGCGACAGAGGCTAAGGGTCCTTGGACCCGGCCCCCGCTGCTGCCCACGCAGCGCTTCCACTTTGCAAAGAGTGTCTCCCGCGCAGCCGGCCTCTCCAGTCCTCACCTGGGGCTGCCTCTGCAGGGCCACCCTCCGTCTCCAGGGAGGCCCAGGCTCGCCAGCGAGGAAGGACGCGGGGCCCTGGCCCAGCGGGAAGGCTGGAGGAACTCAGGCTCGGAGGAAAAGGCTTTTAGACCTGGGCCATCGACGAAGGGTTTCTATAGGGACGACCAGCATCCGGACGCAGTGGGCAGAGGCGGCATGCTTTCGGCGCCACCTCCGTGGGGACCGCGCGGCACTTCGAGGTGCAAGGCTGAGCCTTCGGGGTGTGAGCGCGCGCCCCCGGCTTCGTGCGCCGCTAGAAAGCGGCGTGTCCGTGCGTTTGTCCGCGAGCGTGTGCCGGCTGCGACTGCAGGGAGAGGAAACGGGCCCTTGTACATAGCCCTACCTGTAGATAGGCACATCAACAGGAAACAATGCTTTAATACATGTGTCCTGGTAAATATGAATTTTGTGGCTTTTTGCAAATCATCTATATTGATGTAAAAATATTTTTGGAAAATTAAGTAATTTTTTAGTGTTGAAAATGTAATTTTATTAGTTAATTCTTCATCTTAAATAGGAGCACAATAAAATACACCACAATCTAAAGAAACTCCAGAATTACGAGAATGAGAGTGAAGAAAATTCACATGGGCTACAATATCTATTACCTTAAACTGCAAGAGACAAGGTTCCAACCCGAAGGTGAACATTTATGTGTTTATGACTGGCTACATTTACGACTTAAAGAACAGTTTTGTGAGGGGAGAAACTCGGTCACTGAAGAAGAAAAATTATAAATTTCAAATTAAAGAGTAAAAGGAGCTCCCGTAGCAAATGCTAGAGGAATGAAAACAAGAATCATTGAGGAGTTGATGCTCTCAAAGGCATAAACATTTCTGATGACACACAAGCTGGATGTTGAGATCTGTAGGTTTATAAGGAAGACTCACAAATGCCTCAGCAAATCCCAAATCATTATCAGATCAGTGTTTCTTAATAACACACCAAAGGTTACAGATGAAATTTCAGACAAGAACCAACAAAAAGATCATAACCCAAATTTTAGGCAAAAATGTGGCACAACTGTGAGAGTCCTACATGTCACTTACAACTGCTTTCTTTGCTGTGACTTCCCTGTACAGTAATATTTAAACACTGTGGCAAGACACCAATGATCGCCTAATCAGACCACACAAACACATTTATTTCAGATTCCCTGGAGGTTAAAAAAGGTTGGATACTGATGCTTTATGTATACTCAGGGCCCGTTTATAAATACCCCATTGAATACTATCTTAACACAAATCTGCGTCAGTGAAAAGAAACTGGCAAAATCCACCTCTTGCCATTCAATTTGTCAGGTGGTGAAGACCACGATAGAATGTTCCATCAGTTTTAATTTTAAAATACGATTGTTACATTGGGAAAATGAAATAAACACAGTAAAATAAACTGTACAAAGGCAAAGTAGAACAACAAAAAATATTGTACTAAAACATACGATTTACAGAAGTTTCCAGACAAGCCATACAAAATGGTCACAAATTTTTTTGAAGGGGGGAATCTACACTTGACAGCAAAGTCACAAATGTTATTAGTGAGACTGTGATGTTTGTTTAATGTTCCCATTTTGGTTCAAACAATCAAGCTTGTCCATCTACAGCATCTAAATAAAGTGAGACTTTGCTAGAGAGCATATTCTAAAGAACTGGTTAGCTGCTTTTAACCAATGCGGTTAGATCACCGTAAAAGAGGGGAAAGGAGCTAATAAAATTAAAATAAAACTAACTCCCCCCTCAAAATAAAATAAAGAAAAACACCCACAGCCAGGCGCGGTGGCTCACGCCTGTAATCCTAGCACTTTGGGAGGCCGAGGCGGGTGGATCATGAGGTCAAGAGATCGAGACCATCCTGGTCAACATGGTGAAACCCCATCTCTACTAAAAATGCAAAAAATCAGCTGGGCATGGTGCCTGTAATCCCAGCTACTCGGGAGGCTGAGGCAGGAGAATTGCCTGAACCCAGGAGGCGGAGGTTGCGGTGAGCCGAGATCGCGCCATTGCACTCCAGCCTGGGTAACGAGAACGAAACTCCGTCTCAAAAAAAAAAAAAAAAGAAAAGAAAAACACCCACACCCCTGCAGCTAACCTGAAGCCTTCATTCACAGTGCTTTATGCTTAAACCAGGATGGAGGAAATAAGTAAAAGGGGGGAGGGGCTGCTGCTCTTAAACGTTTCACAGCAATCCAGATGATACTTCTAGCCTCAGCCCAGGCTTTACAACAGTGAATCAGGACAAGACATTTAATCACCAAAGGACTGACGATGTCTGGGCTTTTTTATTCTCTAATGTTTCTAAGATTGTGTCCATTAAATGCAAATAAAAAGGAAGAAGTCTTGGCAGAACAGAAGTGATGCACACTTGATGATCAGATCAATTTAAATATTATTCATGGCATATAGCCTAGTCCATGCCCCAGCTGTTTCTGTGGCTTGGGCTTTACTTGTCTTCCACGGCTCCACTACATCATTTGCTAATGGATCATCTGGATTAGGAGCACTTAACAAGGCCTGGATCGATAGCAGAACTTTGCGGATCTGCAGTGCTGGGACCACTTATCTTTCAAAATATCTGATCATATTCTTCCCAACTTGTCTACACTAGGATGATAAATTTTGGTCATGAAACGTACTTTAGGGGCTGCCATTGGGTCTTCTTCTGGAAGGAATAGTTCAAGTTTAAAAGTCCCTCCCTCAAAGTGGGAATCCTGAGGGCCAGCAATGACCACATGAAAATGACGGGCATTGCTCTCATCTGGTTCTGCTTTGATGCCAGGAACTGGTTCTGCCAGCAAATGCTGAGTTTCCCTGATGATCCTGTGGGGCAGCCCGGCCATCTTGTCAGAACCTGAGTTTGGCCTCTAGTCTCGTCTCCGGCTCCCCTCGCCTCCTTCTGAAGGGAGCTTTCAGTATTAGTCTTTGTGTGAAAAACCTTCTGTGGCTCTGTGAAACCTTTCACAACTTCGAGTTTTGAGAGTTTGGCTGGTATAAAATGTTAGGTTCAAAGCTCTTTTCCTTTAATACTTAAAAATATAAATCTATTAACTTCTTGCATCCTGTATTGCTTTTTTTTTTTTTTTTTGAACGGAGTTTCCCTCTTGTTGCCCAGGCTAGAGTACAATGGCACAACCTCACTGCAACCTCCGCTTCCCGGGTTCAAGCGATTCTCCTGCCGAAGCCTCCCAAGTAGCTGGGATTACAGGCATCTGCGACCACGCCCGGCTAATTTTTTGTGTTTTTAGTAGAGACGGGGTTTCACCATGTTGGCCAGGCTGGTCTCAAACTCCTGACCTCAGGTGATCCACCCGCCTCGGCCTCCCAAAGTGCTGAGATTACAGGCATGAGCCACCATGCCCAGCCTGCTTTTTTGATTATTGTTCTTTTGAAGGTTAGTTCTAAAAGACATTATTCCCAGATACTTTTAGAGTTTTCTTTTTGTTTCCTTATTTGTTTCTTTGGGTTTTTTTGTTTTTCCTTAAGACAGGGTCTTGTTCCATTAACCAGGCTGCAGTGCAGTGGCACAATCTTAATGATCTCAGCTCACTGCAGCCAGGATGCCTGGCTAATTTTTGTTTGTATTTTTACTAGAGATGGGGTATCTCCATGTTGCCCGGGCTGCTACAGAACTCCTGGGCTCAAGTGATCATCTGCCTGCCTCTGCCTCTCAAAGTTCTGGGATTATAGGCATGAGCCTAGCTGTTGTTGTTGTTGCTGAATGTTTTGAAGCCCTATTCTAATATTAATTCTTTCTCTTTCCACCTCAGCATCAAAAGAACCTTTCGATCTGGGAAATTTATCTTCACTATTTCTTTCAATAATTCCTCTTTTATGTCACTCAGACACTGACACTTACATTTTATTTTTCATATCCATAAGCTTTTCTGTTATATTTTCTCCTCATCTTTCTTTTTTTCTCTTTTTGTTTTGTGTTTTTGAAACGGGGTCTCACAGTTGCCCAGGCTGGAGTGCAGTGGTACAATCGGGGCTCACTGGAACATCCATCTCCCAGGCTCAAGTCATCCTCCCACCTCAGCCTCCCAAATAGCTTGCTGGGAGTACAGGCATGCACCATCGCACCAGGGCTAATCTTTGTCTTTTCTGCTGTCTTCTAAAACGGTTCCTCAATCTTTCTTCAGCTGCATCCATTCTGTAATTTACTCCCTATGTTGTATTCTTTTTCCAACTATTGTATTTTCTAACCAATATTTCTCTTTGGTTGTTTTCTTATGCTTTCTTGCTCTTGCTTCACATTTCTAAGAAATTCTAATATCTATTAAATAAATGTATTATGCTTATTTTAAACCCTTGGTCCCTGTGTTCCAATAATTCAGTTTCAGAAAAAGTTTTTAGATTGTTGCTGTAGTAGACTGAAAAATTGGTCTCCAAAAATATTAGATCCTAATTCCTGAGATCTGTGAACATTATCTTAGTTGGAAATATAGTCTTTGCAGATGTGATTAAATGGATGATCTTGAAATGAGGAGATTGTCCTGGATTCTTCAGGAAGGTCCTAAATGGCATCACGGTGTCCCGATTTGAGAGAGGCAGAGTGACATTTCACACGCACATGCACACACATTAGAAGGTGACATGAAGATGAAACAAAAAGAGATTTGAAGAAGCCGGCCTTGCAGATTGGAGTGATGTGGCCACAAACAAAGGAATGTCAGCAGCCTGAAAGAGACAAGGAACAGATTCTCTCCCAGAATCTCCGGAGGGAGTGTGGCCCTGACAATATTTTGATTTCAGCCTAGCGATACTGAATTTGGATTTCTGACCTCCAGAACTCTGAAAGAATAAATTTATCCTGTTTTAGGCCACCAAATTTGTGGCAACTTATTAAGGAGCCACAGGAAACTAATCCATTGGCTTTCATAGTGTGGTTGTGTGCTTCCCTGTCCAGTCACTTTGGCGTGTGCCTTCATTTTCCCCAAGAGAATCATGTACCTTGTCTAAAAGTGTGTGTTGGAGAAAGGTCAAAGACCCTGTGATGTTTCTTACAACATTTGTTTGTGATAGCAGGCAGTTAGAAGCAATACGGGTGTCCATAGTGGCAAAGAGGATAGAAAAAATATGGCGAATATACACTCCCTGGAGTACTATGTAGCATGTAGCTTAGAAACGTGGATAGATTTTTAAAACATGATGCCAAATGAAAATTAAGCAGCCTGGAAAACATAGTGAAGCCTCATCTCTATTAAAAATAAAAAAAATTATCCAGGCATGTTGACTTGTGCCTGTAGTCCCAGCTACTCAGGAGGCTGAGGTAGGAGAATCACTTGAGTGCTGCTTCAGTGGGCTGTGATGATGCCACCGCACTCTAGCCCAGGTGACAGAGAGCAAGACCTTGTCTCGAAAAAAAAAAGAAAAAATAAAATTAAGAATCAGATGATTTCTGTAACTTAACATGATTTGTGTTAATAAGAAACACACGTAGCAACAATGTATACTTTACAAGAACACATATAAAGAAAGGATGCATATTAAATATATTAGAATAGCATAGCTTCTCTTTTTTTTTTTTTGAGATGAAGTCTTGCTCTGTCACCTAAGCTCACTGCAACCTCTGCCTCCCGGGTTCGAGTGATTCTCCTGCCTCAGCCTCTGGAGTAGCTGGGATTACAGGTGCCTGCTACCACACCTTGCTCTTTTTTTGTGTGTGTATTTTTTAGTAGACACGAGGTTTTACCATGTTGGCCAGGCTGGTCTCAAACTCCTGACCTCAGGTGATCCACCTGCGTTGGCCTCCCAAAGTGCTGGGATTACAGGCATGAGCCACCGTGCCCAGCCAAATAGCTTCTTATGGGAGATCAGGGGAATGAAAGAGAAGATCAGAGGATAAAGGGAATGAATGAGTACATAAAAACAAGATGGAGACTGGGTGCAGTGGCTCTCGCCTGTAATCCCAGCACTTTTGGAGGCGGGGCGGGCAGATCTCGA